AAAAAAATATCACTTTTACTGACTTTTAAAAGCAAATTACATATTTTTCGTGCATAGTTTTATTACACCAAAGTGTGATAAATGTAAAGATCCAACTGTAGGCGTTAGAATGTAAATCAATAAGACTTGCGTGGTATATATGCAAAATTCCTTGTAGTTTAATTTACTGATAAGTTACTTTAAATGTTTTTTTACCCTCTTATGATTTTTCTCTTAACAACACAGGTGGAGTTTTGTTAAGTATATTGGCTACCTCTTCTTCCATTCTTGATCACAATTTACGCCATATAAATGAAAATTTCTCAGTAGGATTTACATCTGTGCTGATCATTGTAAGTTCTTTATCAGCTCTTTCTGCAATAAGAGTGTAATTTCTTATTAATGTTCAAAGAAATTGTTGGCTTAGGTTGGCTCCATAATTGAGTTAAGGAGATCTTATCAGGCTTACAATGTAATGCCTACTTTAAGCAAGGTTCTTAGGAGATATGGTGTTTAAAGAAATTCAGTTGTTTTTTAACTTCAGGTAATGTTTTGCTTCAATTTCATGCATCTTTTTTAGACAATTCTTTTATATTTACATATCTAGCTCCTAAACTTTCATATTTACATGTATATGACTTAAATATTTAAAAATAAATAAAAGTTTTACTGTTGTCAGCTTTTTAAAAGTGAAATACACTTCCCAAGCATAGTTTCTGACACCAAGGAATTATAAATATAAATATCAAACCTTAGTTGTTAGATATGTGTAAATACATAAGAATTATGTGCTATGGATATAAATTTTTTTTATAAAATTTTAGGAATCAGATTATTTTGTTCTTTTTGTGACTCGCAGATACAGGAGGAGATCAATGTGGTTAACAAAGTACAATCATCTTAATCTTTCAAGGAAGTGGGTTAAAAACATAATCTTTGGTTTAAAGCGGATAGGACTACCAGAGGGGAGGAGGCACAGAAGGCCGCTATTTCATTGAAGTAAAAGCAGAAAAATGTTTTATTGGCAGCACAATAAGTTGGAGAAAAAAATTTTGAACAGAAAAATATGTGCCATTTTTATTGTATTGTAGGTGGTTCAGTTCAAGGCTCTAGAGAGTAGATTTGAGTTACAGCTTTGCATATGTTAGCATTTCCTGATTTAGATGCCAACTTGCAGTACTTGTAATGATTAGTTAAATTTTTATGTATTTTGGGGGTGAACCACTATAATTGTTGATTGTATTTTTGAATAGTGTGGTGTAGTGTTGATAATCATATTGAAAATTTAAAATTTGCTCACACTATCCAATTTGCAGATAGACTTGCTCTAATATTATGATGAAGAATGCTTGCTGAAAGCATTCTGTAGGATTGTCAGTTATTCATTCCATATATTTAAAGAGAAGCATTATTTAAGTTTTTGGGAGATCAATTGGATTTATATTTGGCATACTTTAGCTAATAACTTGGGAGTAATGGAGCCATTATTGATCAAGTATTCACTGAGTATTTCTAAAATTCTCGGGTAAGGATATAATGGGTCAAGCACCATGAGATAGATCTAGTGGACTTCAAATTAAAATTATGATTATTATTATTACTGTTATTGCATTTTATAAACGTTGTTTTGCACATCAATTACAGCATTTGCTGAAATGCATCTTTTTTTCAGTTCAATTATAATATTAATAATTTTTGTTGGAGATTCTTACAGACGAGAAAATTGCTGAACAAGGTAGAAATTAAAAAACATGCCTTAAAAAGACAGAAAATTCTCATCATGAAACTCAATTAAATATTAGTG